CTTATTCTAGCAACAAGTTTCAACGTACAAAACTATAGGGGGAAAAAAAAGAAAGAAAGAAAAGGATCTGCTTATTTGCTAAGTACAATAATCTTAACTAATCATTATCTCAGAGATCTCTCAGCCTTTTGACTTAAAAGAGAAGTAATCTGATTGATGACTTGAAAGAGAACTTGATAACTTACCACAGAGAGAGAGAAAAAAAAAGTGAAAAATGGGCAAAACTTGCGTTTAGAATTAATTTTTATTCGTTTTTAAAAACGTTTTTACACGTTTTTTGAGGTACGAAAATCAAAATGGTATACAAATCATATTTGCGGCTCCGTTCATTTTGTCGATTCGAGTTTAGAATTTGAGTTTTGCTACAGTAAAAAGCTCTCAGAAACAGTCACATCTAACTTTTTTGCTACAGTAAAAAGCTCTCACACAAAATCACATCTCAACTCGAATCAGCGAAGTGAACGGGATGTTTTGAAAAACACAAACGAAAATAAAAAATTGTGTGAATAGTTTTTATGAATAAATTAAAAAACAGTTAAAAATTATTTATTTTTATTTTTCAGTACTTATTAATAATGTTATAATATATTAATTAATAATTATAATCAAACACGATTTCACTTTTTTATTATACTCAAAATAATCTTTTAAAAAATTAATCAAACGTAATTTAAGAATGAATTTCAAAATAATTCTTAAAACAATCTCATTTTTACTTTTGTATTGAAAACAAAATTATTTTACAAAAATTACCAAACGAGCCCTTAGATTCTTCTACATTTCTCTCTATGTATCATCATGTAACATGTTGCGATTCCTTGTAAAAGAAGAAAAAAAAAAAAAAAAAAAAAAAAAAAAAAAAAAAAAAAAAGAGAAACGAATAAAAAAAAAAGAAAAAAAAAGAAAAAAGAAAAAACCGGCTTGGTAATTGGTATACATGTGGTACATCATGGGTCCCAGTTTAAGGAAGAAACCAGAAATGATTGTGTTGATTGCAGAGAAGAGAGGAGAGAAACTTCTAGAAGACGTTGAAGCTGCTGAATCTGAAGGTGCCATAAGCAACACCAGCATGAGCATAGGCATGAAGGAGCTCATTTTGGGCAGACCAGAAATCAGCTCTTAGACCTCCTCTTCTCACTGCTTTTAGTATTTTGTTCCTATTTGCATAACCCGTCACCACTACTTTCTGACTATTTGCATCCACTTCCACCTTTTCTATCCCTGCAAGCAATTATTCTCGATTTTGTTATTTACTCATCAAACTAAGAATTATAAGTAGATTTTTCTTTTTTTTAAGATTACATCAGAATCATATAAGATCGAAAAAAAAAAAAATTACGAAAGTTAATTAGAATTTGACGATTCATAAAAAAAATAATAACGAATAGAGTCATGCCTTTTAATTTGGAAAGGCATTTCCGGAGTCTCTTCTCATGTATGCCAACCATCTCTACCTTCAATTCAACACTCTGCAACACAATACTTAACACATTAGTACCGTAAACATTTTTACAAAACGCACCAAACAAGAACTTGCAGTGAAGTTTAGATCTTCTTAAGACACATTAGGAAACAATTAGTCCATTGATCATATACATGCTCTTACTGCAGTACTTTTTTGTAAATATCTGTAGATAAACAGCTTACTAAACATTTATATATGGTGAAAAGAAGAGATAATTAGATTACCTCCATTAGAGATTTTCTGGAATGGAAATGATTAGTTTATGAAGAAGAGAATAAAGTGAAAGACAAATGATTCTCAGAAGAAACAAATCAGAACTAATGATAGGTGGGAAAGAATGTAACAGATTGGGAATGTCAGGTACCGATTACACAGCTGATACATATGTTATGTGTGTGTATATATATACACACAACAAAAGGGAAGTTAAAGAAAAGGACGGAATAAACAGTAAAGTGGATCTTGGTTTTGGCGTGGTCTAGTACTACTTCTGTCTTCTAGAACAAAAACAAAAATCAGATACTTTGCTTTTATATATACATATATATATATATATACACATTCAAAGGGAGACAAATCAGCAAACAAACATAAAAAGAAAAACAGATAACAAGAAAACGGGAAACGTCTAGAGAGAAGAGAATTAAGAAAGCTCAAGCTTCGAGGCTTGTGGTCTGTGCAAAGCAATGCAAAGTCTGGGACTTATGAATCATGAGAGAGGCTATTTTGAAATGATTGGCTTTGACGGTCCAACTTACCTTTTTTTTTCTTCTCTTTTCTTTGATGGTCTTCGGGTATGGGAAAACACCCTCAAGTAATTAGATTCTAAAGAAAAGAGTTTTAGTTTGATTTGTCTGATGAACTGGAGCCACAGAAATTAGAAATTAACCAAAAAAAGAAGAAAATATTTAATTAATTCTTAAAAGAAGAAAATATTTGTTAAATCTATTCAAAAGCTTTCACAACTCAATCATGTATGATGGAGTTATCAAAGTTTGATCAACCCTTTCGAAGTTTGAACTAATAAATCAATATATCAAATGTAAACATTAGATTAGAGATTATCTAAACAAGACACATTATAGCATTGCATCAATTGATGTCTCTCATTTGGTAACGTGAGATCCAATACTTGATGGGGTCCACCGAGTGACAGCTTGCATGGGATGACACCTAGTTAGACTGCTCTCCTTCATATATATATATATATATATATATATATATGTGTGTGTGTGTGTGTGTGTGTGTGTGTGTGTACTCAGCAATGTATCATATAGTAGTAGTCTATATTGGAGGATATGAGATATTGGAAAAGGGAAAAGAGTGAAGAAAAAGCAAAAGAGAACAGTTCATGGATCAAACTGCAAGTTTGGTATTTTGTTTGTTTCAATAGCTTGCTTAGCGATATTGGGAATATAACATTGTAGGTATATCATGCCACGTCCGTTTGAAATAAAGACAATCAACCGTCCAATTAAAACAAAAAATTATAAACTTACCCATTACAATCAGAATTGCTCGTTCCCACTTTGTGTTTCAAACAAACAACCAAAGGAGCAACTTAGCAAGCAATGGAGAAATATTGGAAACAAAAGGAATAATAATTATAGTAATAAAAGATCTTTTGCGTTGTAAATTAGAATGAGTAAATCCACCTTTTATTTTTAAAATATTGTGATCAACTCACTGTACTTTTCAAATTATACAAAATCTATCTTCTATGTATTTTTATTTTCTTTTTAAAAAGTTTATCCTTGATGTCATATTTAATTAATTAAAATCAATGTTTCAAAATTTAATTTTTTATACATTCAGTTTAATCTCAGCAAAATGGGGTGGTGGCGCAGTTGGCTAGCGCGTAGGTCTCATAGCTTTCTGAGTTATCCTGAGGTCGAGAGTTCGAGCCTCTCTCACCCCATCTCTAATTTTTTTTTTAATTTTAATTTGTAGTCGAACTTTAATGATAAGCATGTGGATGGAACGAAACAAAACAAAGTAAGGTATTTATGGACCACCACTGGAGTCTGGAGCCGACAAAAAAAGTAGTAGTCGATCCAATAAGGTTGGGATCAGTCATAGAATAAAAATAAAGAATCATTCTCATTCTTTCGGAATCTGGATCTCGAATTTTCGCATTGAAAACATGTCGTTTTTTCTTGAGAATCTCCCCCAATCATTAGACTTTGGACATGCCTTCCTCGATTGCTTTGGTTTTTTTGAACGGTTTTTATAATTTTGTTCAGCTTATGATATGGTCACCATACTGATATTTGGTGTCAAAATCAATACAACAACAAGCCACGTCAAAATCAGAAGCAGCAAGCAAAATTTGCAAGTGAACAGAGGCCATTGCTCCATAAAGTAGCTCACGTCTTTACTCTTTAATAAACAATTCGAAAACCTTTGAAGATATATCGCAACAACTATTATTTAGTATTTCCTTATGATTATTAGTATTCTCCGTTCAATTCGCTGATTCGAGTTTAAAATTTGAGTTTTTTTACAGTAAAAAACTCTCACAAACAATCACATCTAACTTTTTGTTACAGTAAAAAGTTCTCACATAAAATCACATCTCAACTCGAATCAGCGAAGTGAACGAGTGATTCTCTCAAGTATTTTTTGTGATTTGATAATACTTTTAGAACTTTTTTTTTATTGATAATTTAGTCATTGTGCTTACAAAATATGTGACTAATTCGAGAATTAAATTGTCGACAGAGATAATTTACTTTAGCGTGGCTTATTGTTGTTTTTGTATATTGTCATATTTTATTTTTAAGGCAGTAAGAATACCAACTATAATCAGAATATCAACCATAATTTTAATTATTTTGTACTAATTTATGTAGCGTAGAGTTGCTATTTTTTCATTAATAAATATAATCACTTATTATTAATTTACGTGACGATTTTTCAATCGTGCTGTCAATCTTTTTCATTTATGCCGTTTCCTAAATTTGTCGTTTTAATTTTTCTCTTTTTCTTTTTTTTTTTAGAAAAAGATTATGAATCCATTGTGGTTTGAAATATATGTATATATAGACGTCGTTTCAGTTAATGACGTTTTTCTCATTCATTTTTTGTTGTATCTTGAATTTCTTCCACCTCCTCGTCCGTGATTTTATCGTTAGAAGTTAAATCTAAAAGAATTTGTACGGTTAATTGTATAAATGTTTTCATTTCAGTCGCAAAAAGAAAAATGCCTGTATTGCAACAAAAAAGAAAAATGCGTGTTTGTATTTGACGTCGACTCATTCGTTTCGCTGATTCGAATTTAAAATTCGAATTGAGATTTAATTATATGTAAAAAAATTTTACTGTAGTAAAAAAATTAAATGTGATTGTTTATAAAAATTTTTTACTGTATCAAAATTTGAATTTTAAACTCGAATGAGCGAAACGAATGAGGTCATATTTGTCGTTATTTTGGCATCTTTTGTAACTATGTCGTTCTGACATCATGTCGTTCTTAGTTTTTGTCGTTTATAATAATAATAATAATAATAATAATATAAAACTCCACTAAAATTCGTCACTCTCTCTCTGTCTCTCCTTCTTCTTCTCTTCAGGGAAGCAGAACTGAAGCTTCATTTTTGGGCTTCACCAGCGAGATTTCCATTGCGTAGAAGGCAAATTTCTGCAGCAAAGCTTCTTGGAGCAACGAGAAATGTTGTAGAGATGTTCAAATTTTGAGGTAGTGTTTTTCTCCCCCCGTGAATGATCTTAATCCGATATTTCCCTATTGGAAAGAAAAACCTAAATTAGTTTGATTAATTTCAATATCTTGAGACTTAAATGGATAATTAATTAGTTGAAACTTTCCTAACAATCAGCTTCCTTAGGCAATTTAACTTTCCTGTTAAATTTATTTGTTTTTCCATATTTTTGTTGGTTTTGCGGTTGAATGCTGATGACATACTCATTGTTTTAAATTATCTCTGCGAAATGTTCTCCATTTGTCTTTCAATTATATATGTATATTGTTCTATATTGTTCGCTTTTCAGTATTTTCTTTCTTTTATTGTGTTTTTTGGGAAGAGTTGCTGCAAAAACATATATGTATAATCTTTGGAAATTTTTGTTTTACACAAATTAACAAATCCAAAATTCAAGGAATTATAGGAATAATCTTAATCCCATGTCACTTTTTTGTCCTTTGTGGTGGTGAACCTTTTTTTTTTTTTTTTTTTTGGTACTGCATGCATTCCTTGATTTTTATGGTGTCCTAGACATTTTCTCTGTTCTTTTAGGGGATACTTTTATTTGGCAAAGATAGAAACCTAAGACGATTATATTGCTCCTTGCTGCAATTTGAATATTAATTTATGAAAAGACTTGGCTATGGAAGTGCTTTGGTTTAGCTAATTTCATATATGGGTATAGGATGGTCTTCTAAAAGTTATATTTTTTTACTCTCTGTGTTTCTCTTATGGAGCCAATTTTTGATTTACTTTCTGAAATGGATTTAATTTAATTTAATTTATTTTATTTTTGGGTACGATACTGCTATATAGAAGTGATAAGCTTGAAGTATGGACTTGGAACAAAAAGATGACGGCGATGGAAGATCAGATAATTCGTCAAATGATGACAAGAACTTTTTGCTGAACTTCATTATGGGCACATATTTAGGTCCTGATGTAACTATTGATAACCCAAGAAGCTCCGCATTTCAAAGACTAGCCAAGGATTCACCGCCATACACATTGAAAGATTTGGGACCTTCATATGTTAGTATTGTTTTGTTGGAGAATTTATATTACTATCTCCTGAGGAAAGCTGAGCGTTGCCTGATTTTGAAGCCAGAAATGTTGCATAAGTACATAAAGGGCAGTCTGCATTTTCCAAATTTGTCGGTGTCTGAAGACACTCGGCAGTTCATGAGGTTTTTCCCTTTGGATCTCCATGAACAGATATGGTATCCTCAAAGCTTTAGGGTTGTGAAAGGGATTGTTCTTATTGATGATCCCGTTATGTTGCATAGGGAAGAGGACTTAGATAAGTTCAGATCTCTATCTCGTCTGAGAGATTTCAAGATAGATATGGATGAGTTTGTCCAATTTGAACACAACTACCACAATGGCAATGATGACGGTGAACAGAATTTCTCGGATAGTGGTAAGGAGACATCAAGCATGGGACAAAAAATTTCAGATGGGTATGCACATCCATCGGTCAGATCTCAGCAAAAGTTTAAGAGAAGGCGTGATGACTGTGACTCAATACCTATGTTTCCTGTGGGAAAATATTATATTAGCAAAGGAGATTTCCAAAGGGCACGTATGTCTGATGGACCAGCCATTATGCCTCTTCTTTTGGATGTGCAAAAATGCATCCCCAAATCAGATGCGTCCATTGTTTTATCCGGGATTGCGAAGAAAGGAAAACTGGGACCTCCAGTTGGTGTCGTGGATGTTGGCGTTAGCAAAGTTGCATACTATTTTCGAGTTGCTCTACCAGGGGTCAGAAAAGATTATTGTATGTTATCATTTTGTTTATGATTTTGTCATGTTAGCATAAGATAAATGAAGTAGTTTTTCCATGTCTGATCAAGTTTTTCTCTCCATGGTGTGCTTTGCTTCCGTTTTTTCCCTTCCCGTTTCTGTTCAACAAAAACTGATTGTGGGCTCTTTGTCCTTGCTAATTGAAATGATGCTATTTATGGTGGCAGGCAAATTCAGCTGCGAGATTGAATCTGCCGGGAAGGTTCACGTGCGAGGGTTGACGACCGGGGGTAAAACTATAAGAAAACCTTCACGCGTGTTTGAGATGAAGTTTCAGCAGTTATGCCCGCCGGGACCATTCACACTGTCTTTCACTCTTCCAGGGCCTGTGGATCCGAGGCTCTTTGCTCCCAACTTCAGATCAGATGGCATTTTCGAAGGAGTGATCATAAAACACACCAAAAAATGAGAGTTGACACTACTAATCCTACGAACAAGAAGGTCGCTTCTTGGGGAGCAATTTTTCTTTTTGTTGGCTAGTTGGGGTCGGTCCAGCTGCATATAAAGGATTTTTAATGTAACGACTTTTCCTTTTCTCTTTTGGGGCTCAAGGATGTAAACTGCAACCCATTTTGTAATTTTGGGTTGGGACTTTAAGACTGTTGATATGTTGGCCGTTGTTGTTTTGCTTGTTTAGAAAGTCAAATACGCTGCCATGTTTTGAGAAAGGGAGGAGATTGGAGAATGTCAAGTGTTTTTTTTATAAACTCATAAATCTATCTAATGTGCAACTTAGATATGAAGTTTTAAGATTATTTTCTTGTTCATTTATTCGTCTTCCTAATTTATGTTGAGATATTATTTGGCTAAATAAGAAAATTCCACTCTCAAGAGTTTGTGTTTTCAGAGAATGATGTATGATAAAAATAAATAAATAAATAATTTGCCACTTATATTCTACTAATCTCACTAAACAAAAGGGTGTCTATAATTTAGATAAAAACATATGGGTAATAGTGTAAAAAGACCCCCAAAAGAAATCCTTAACGACATGGAATTTTATTTAACTTTCATCTTCATTTTACAAATAAACAAGACATCCTATCGCGTATGTCGTCCAAAAAATCCTGTGAAAATCCATTTGGTGTCGTTTATTTAGTGAAATGATATATTAATGTATAAAACGACTGTTGTTTAGCTTTCAATGAACGACTGAAAAATCATCCAGCATTTTGCTGCTGAAATTTCATTATATTGGTCATCTGTATCCGAAAAAGGACATGTCGTTCTAAGAAAAAACTATTTCACACTATTCATATAATATGGAATCTTTTCATATTTATCCGTAAGACATTTCCATAGAATATAATTATACATTTATTTATATATACTAGTAAAGCGAGGCACGTGCTAAGCACGTGCTTCTCTTTTAAAATTATACATCACAAATGAGTTATTATATATAAACAAGTTATTATATTTGTTGTTTTTGTATATAAATGTACTATTAACAGGTTTTTTTATATGTGTTGTTTTTTCGATCAACTAAGCATGATTCACATCTTAATTAGGTGACACAATATAACATATATATGAAGAAAAAATTCAATTAACAATTACTGAAGAAAAAGAAAAAGAAAAAAAAAACCCCTCTATTAGCCCGCTGCATAATAACGTTCGTGTTCATTTGTATATCTCAATATCCATTCAAACTCCATCTCAATAAAGCAAATAAAATGTGAATTGTGAAATGTAAAATGTGTGTGTTTTTTTTTTTTTTTTTTTTCCAAATTACATAAAATGTATATTATTTATTGATCATATTCTATTATCAGACATAACATACAGCACGACATGTAATAACGCTTCTAAACCATCAAAATTATTCTAAGAAAAAAAAAAAAACTCCCACGATCCAGGAAAGTTTGCTTATTGCACTATGAATGGTCTAAGGGTATTTGAAGTTATAATCATTCTATTCCTACCGTGTTATGGATTTTGTTCTAATAGTAGGATAACTCACTGTAATATCGGGGGTAAAAAGTCTTCCAAATAAGAAAGTAAACTATCTTTATTTTATTTTATTTTATTTATATTGTCACATGATCCATATCTAAAACATTGACTATAAATTCACCCTCATTATGGTCACATCTAAATTACAAAATTTCCTTCTCTATTTTGATAAGTATCTCTTCAAAATGCTCTTGTGAAGATTTGTTTTTCGCTCTGTCTTTAAAGACGAAACTTTTTTTTTTTCTTTTCAAGAAGACTCATCGATTTTGATCCTAAGATTATGGTGAATTTACATTTGCACTGAGACCGTTTTGTTCAAATTAATTACAAAAATGCCATTTAAATAAAAATTATGCACGCTTATACTCTTCCTATTATTATTGTTCAGCCCTTTTTCTTTACTTTTTGTTTATTTTTCTTTACTTTGCTACTTTGTGTGTCTTTCTATTATTTGTTGGTGTAATGGCTAAATCTGCCCAATTTCTCATTCATGGATGGTTAGATGATGCTATGAAATGGCCTATTCTTATTTCGACTCTTATACATGCTGCTATTATGGTAGCAGTTAAAATTTTTCTCTTTTCATAATTATGCTTTATATAATGAATCTAATAGCTTTGTTAGGTAAATATTACTTTGAGGTGCCACTTTAGCCTTTACTTAAAAAGGATATTAAGAGAGGTTTAACTTATTCTACAATATCTCAATTGGGTTATATGATATTAGCTCTAGATATGGGTTCTTATGGGGTTGCCTTGTTTCATTTGATGTACCATAATTCGAACTTACTCTTTTTTTTTTTTTCCGAAAAGGAACCCAATTCAAGGAAGTCATGAAAAAGAATGGCTTCTTTATATTTTCATCTTGAAGCCTTCAATCAAAAGATACATAATGAAAAGAAGCTAAATAAGATGAAATTTTCTTATTTAGTCATGCAATTGTAGTAATCGAGTTTACAAAATAATCAATTAACACGTGGTCAAACCCTAAATCCTCAAATAAAAACCCTAAAATTCTATTTTCTTTTGTTCCCTTCACATCCTTTCCTTCCCTTCACCACCGTGAGCAACAAAGCCTTCCACTGTTGTGAGTTTCACCGTTTGTTGCTGCAGTAACCTACGCGATTTCTTCAGATCTTAGTCGTCGATCACCCATCAGAAGTCCGTCACCGTCGGCCATTTACTGCCACTTCATCTTAATTTTTTCAGACAATCCATTTGAGACTTAGAGCCCGTTTGGTTTATGGATTAGAACTATTTTCAATTTACGTGTGTTTTTTATGAGAAAAAATACTGTAACGAACCATGAACCATGATTCAAATCAGAGAATGAATCCTCCAATCAAACGGGCTCTTAAAGATGATCCCCTTTTCTCTGTGAAAGACAAAGTCTCATCTTCTTCTTTCTTTCTTTTTTTTTTCTTTTAAATCTTTCAGAAACGTTTGAAAATTGATTCAGGCTTACTCGGTTGTATTTTTAAATTATAGATTTGAGTGTAGATTTTGAGTTAAATTAAAATTAAAATTGTAGTTTGTATTTAAATGTGTGTAATTGAGTTATGATTTAAATTGAGAATCTATTTGAGTTTGTATTTAAGTGAGTCAAAACTTAAATTTAATTTAGATAGTATTTTAATAAAAACTTAATGGTGATGAAAAATTTTAATATGGTATATGAGTGAAATTTTATTCGTCTCTTCATGGTGAACGCATAAAAAAAAATTCTAAATCAGAATTAAAACGAAAAAATTATGACGTTTTTAAAAATAGAAAAAATATTATTTATTAACTTGAGTTTGAGTTTAAAAACTTAGATTTGAAGGAGAAACTAGGTTCCGTTTATTTCACCGATTCGAGTTTTGTTACAGTAAAAAGTTCTCACAAATAATTACATCTAACTTTTTTATTACAGTAAAAAATTATCACATAAATTCATGTCTCAATTCAAATTAAAAACTCGAATCAACAAATTAAACGGACCTTTAAACTCAAATTTTAACTTCAAATTCAAATTAAAACTCGAGTTAAAATTCAAATTTAAACTAAATTTTACAAATAAATATAAATTTAAATAAAATTATAATTTAAATTTTTTTAAGTTTTACTCCAAAAAAATAACCTCAAATCATCTAGATCTCTCCCTCTCTCTCAAATTCAAATTATTATTATTATTATTATTATTTTTAGGATGCGTCTATGTATTATACCAATTTTTCCCCTAATTTGATTTGATTTTCTTTCTTTATTTTTTTTCATAAGAGGAGTCGGAGTCGGAGAACAAGACCAGAGAGACGGCGTCGTTCTTTACACCGGCGACGACAACGACGAATACGGTAAATATGGCGGAATCATATATGTAAAAAACTTTCAGTTGACGAAAAGCTAATACGACGTCGTATTTTGCATTTGCATGCCATTCAAAGTAATTTGGAATGGAAATTGGAATCCCTCCGATCCGTATCTCACATTCTGGGCACTTGTTGCTTTAGGGCTTAGGGTTCTTAACTTCTTGTTGTTGTTGTTTGTTTGTTTTTTTTTTCTTTTTTTTGTTTGTTTGTGTGTTTGTGTTTGTGTTTTTTTTTTTTTTTTTTTGTTTGTTTGTGTGTTTGGGTTTTTGTTTTTTTTTTTTTTTTTCTTGGTGGCAATATCTGAATTAAGGATCACTCTTTCAGGTTTATTAGTTTTGAAAACTTTTCTTACAATTTTAATTGGGTTTTGATATAAACAAATGACACAAAGTTTAAAGATTGTTCATTGCATTGAAATATTCTATTCTCTGTTCATGCTAAAATTATAAGGGCCTGTTTGTTGATAGTATTAGAGGGGATCGTAAAAGGGCCGAACTGGATAAGGGATTTGATCCCATTCCCATTTTTGGCACAAAATTTCATTTTTAAAGGACTGGATTGTATAATTTTAATCCTTTATTAAGTTATAAGGGGATTAGAGCTGTCCCCATTCCGATTTTTCTTCCTCCATTGCTAGGGCTAGCTCGGGTTCTTGACTCGTCACTTCTCCCTCTCTTGTTGCTTTCCAGGCTTAGGCTCCTTCAATTACGATTCGAGGCTCGAAAATCTGCAATAGCTTAATTTTGTTTTCGTCTCTTCTGCTTTCTATTTATCGTTTATGCTTGGAGACAAAAATGGAGATTATGAATTTATATGTGAATTTCGTCTGATTGTGTATTCAACTTTGATAGGAAATAGCTGTAATTCATGTTGTACTGATTATCACGCTGCATTGGGAATCATAGTAGCAGCCGTATAAGAGAACCTAAATTCGATTTACTGTTAAAGATTAGATGTACTTAAATGCTGTGACTTCATCAAGTTTGATTAATTGCTTATTATACCTAACGTTTAGGTGAATATATTCTTGTGAGCTCAACATATTTGATCTCATGGAGGGGCAAAAGTTTGCGGGCAATCCACAACTGAAGCCATCTGTTGTTTTTACGGGAACTGCAAAGGAAGGAAGTGTTGGGCCTCCGGTTGGTCTTGTTGACGTCGGTGAGAGTGAAGGTGCTTACCTTTTCAGAGTTGCACTTCCTGGTGTCAAGAAAGATCAATGTAAGTATGCTTTCATTGATTACGTATCCCTTCTGCAATGCTAGACCCTTGCACTTCAGCTGACCACTCTTGAATTTGTAATTAGTATAAATTTTGTTGTCTTTTAGGCCTTGTTTGTTAGGAGGGAAAAGTGGAAGGATGGATAGGGGTGAAAAAAATTAGTAGATGGATTTTAAGACTTGTCGTTGTTTTGTATGAGGATTAGAGGAGGGTATGATTGTGTGAGGGATTTAAAGTTCTCCACACGACTCCAGTTTTGATCCTTTCAGTGTTTGAAGAATTTAAGAAGTTAAGGAGGGAAATTGAATATGAGAAAGGTCCTCCCCTTCCTCTCCAATTTTTCTCAACCAATTTGTCTACCTTTCCTCCACATTTTCTTTCCCTTTTAATAAACACAATCTAAGAGTGCGTCTTCATATCATGAATGGAAAGAGAATGAGAAGGGTGTTTCTTCGTCTCATCCATTCATGTGCTCACTTACAAAATCAAGCATGCAAATGAAGTCGGGCACATGACTGAGAGAATAAGGAATGGGAAGCCCAATCCTAAGCCCAAATTAAGTCTATACTGTTCCCAAGTCTTTAGGAAATAACCGTGTGTGATTTGTGCCGAAGGATATTTTAGTAACAATCTTATTGTGATTCATGTTCTCAAAGTTGGTAAATATGAAGAAAGAAATGGTAAGGAACTTAAATTGTTCCCAACTCCAATTTCTAATAAGCTTCCGCTTTCCATTACATTCCTTTACATAAACATGAGCTATATATGTTGCAGGGCATGAGAACCAAGTTTCCGTTGAATGCTATTGCATATAAGGATGAATGATTAGGTAATGCTTGTTTTTTCTGCAGGTAAGATAAAATGTGAGATTCAACGTGATGGGAGAGTCCATATTGAAGGAGTTATGACAGGTGGTGTAGGTCCTCTAAGAGACTCATCAACCGTGTATCAGATGAAGGTTCAGCAACTATGTCCCCCTGGACCATTTACCATTTCGTTTAGCCTGCCTGGTCCTGTAGACCCTCGTTTGTTTTCTCCGAGTTTTCGGCCCGATGGCATACTGGAAGTGGTGGTTATGAAACACAGAAAACCTCCTGCAGGAGGCTGGTGCCCACCTTCGTGATCTTGGTGTAAGCTTATGATTTTTTGCCCCCTTCTCTCTCTCTCTCTCTCTGTTTCCTTATTTTTGTTGGAGTTTGCCCCCTGGACATTCGGGAGAATTGGAACTGGAAGGGTGATGCATGTTCACAAATGCCCGTACCATGGGTTGGAAAAGGTTGCTCAGATGATGCATGCATTGTCAATACTTTCTTTTCTTTAGATGTGGCTAGGATGTAAGGCATTCCATATGTTAAATTATCTGTATTACCATTAGTGATAGTCACCAGATATTTGGTAGTATATTATTGCAACATAACGAAACTTGATTTAATTTATTTTTATTTTTACTTTTTATCATGTAATCGTTTAATAACACGTGGTACTACATCATCTCGTTTAATAACACGTGGTACTACATCATCAATAGCGATGAATAATGGCGTTTCTTCTCATTAGAGGTGAAAGTTCGTCCGCTTGGCATGGGCAAGGTTTTTTGGGGCTGGGATGGGAAACAGACTGGCTTCAGCCCAATCCGTTTTGCCCGGTCCCAACTCTTTTTTTATTTTATTTTATTTTAAGGATGATCCCGGTCCAAACTTTCACTGTAGGTTCCTTGAAGAATCAGGGGATCAAATGATGACACTTGCATGGTAGGTTCGGTCTTAGAATTTGATAGCATAGACTGTTCGCACAGTAAGCAGGAATTGAAAGGTATTTGTACCTACAGGCTACAAGTCAATTTGGCAATTTAGTTTTCAATAAATTATACCAGAAATGACGAAAGAAAACATGATGCTTATTGTCAAAATCAACCTAGGGGAACACCAAAATTAATTACATACTAATCACAATCAATTTACAGCCATCATCACATGGCAGCTTCCTGGAATTTACATTTAAGGTAGCTATCAATTGTCAAGCTTCTGTTTGAACTTAAAATATGTATTATATGTACTATATACATTGGTCCAAAAATGTGTCAAACAACAAGAGGTCCATATGCATGTTCCCTAAATCCTGGCCCACACAAACCGCGTTATACATGATGTGTTTGTCGAGACCTATATTGTAATTTAGTCTGTCCCAAAAAACCATCCTTTTGTTGATTGACGACTGACCCCTTTGGCGGTTGGGGCCAAGGCCTCTGCTTGTCACTATTGGAATTGCTGGCTATGTTTTTAGCTTGCCTTTTTTTTGTTGTTGCTAATCTTGTTTTTAGCTTTTATGACACATAGAGTCGACCATTGTATTATATTCATGTCTTTGTAATGTTTAGGTAAGGCAGATTTGGGGATTAGATTTGCTAATGATAAGGTTTAATTAACTTTAACCTCGTGTTTGTCACAAGTTTTTTGCAATGTTCTTTGGAATTACTCACATCTGTGTCATTTTGTATTCTTATTGTGGTTAGCTATCTGGTTCTCTTTATTATAAATAGAATATATATCTCTCTCTCTCTCTCTCTATATATATATATATATATATATCTCTCTCTCTCTAGGTCCTAAACAAGTTTTCTTTGACATGGCCTGCCACTTTATATTTGATCTAATCTCATTTATTATTTGATCTAATCTCATGTCACTTTTTTTTTTTCTGTTTTCTTTTGTGTCTCCCAAGAATATCATATCATACTACTTAAAATATGTTTAAGAAACAAGAAGACATAGAAGTCGAGTTCTATAACATAAGTAAGGACAACAATAATTTTTTTTAAAATGGAGATAAATTTTTAAGCCCCTAGTGATATTTCATTTTCTCATTATTAAGTTGACGTTGGGAATTATCCATAAGGCTATAACTCACGAGGCACACAAGCAAAGCCGGAGTTTGACTTCATTTTAGGGTAAAAAAGGGGGAGAAAAAGGGTAACAGAGAAAGTGGTGTCCGTACAAATGCTACAAAAATTTCTAACAAAATTAGGAACCCTGGAAGCGGAAAAATTAGAAAAAGAACCAATCACAAAATTGTCAAACTTGCCATCAGTTCAGAGACTTCACCCACCATATAATTAGAAAAAGGAAAAATTCCAACCCCGTTATAAAAATTGCTCTAAAAAAAAAAAAAAAGAAAGAAAAGAACTCATAGCGAATAGAAGAAGAGGAAGGAGAGAGAGGGCAATTACGGCAATTAGAATAATAGAAAAACATGACGCTAATTAACTAAATGATGAAGTTATAGGATCCGCATCTTTCTGGCATAAAAGACTGTAAGTCAACCATCCACCCTTTGATCACATCACATCAGCATCCCTCTAATCACGATAACTACTCAATTGCTGCCGTCTGATTCACTGACTTTCTTGCCCCAGAGAGTTTGAACCATATATTAATATTCCATTAGCCATATATATATAACTATCATTGCTTGGTGAGAAGTGAGAATCAAGAGAGAATTAGAGAGAATTAAGGCATGGCTTTGAAAGTCCTATCAGCACTGGACAGTGCAAGGACTCAATGGTACCACTTCAAGGCCATAATCATCGCCGGCATGGGCCTCTTCACCGACGCCTACGACCTCTTTTGTATTCCTCCAATCATGCGCCTTCTCGGCCGCATCTACTATGATTCTGCTAAACTGTCAAATAACACTGGGGGATCCAATTCAACGGATAATGATAAGTACCAAGTCCCCGCCGTCGTCACGTCCACGATGGTGGGGATCGCCTTGGTGGGGACGGTGATCGGCCAGCTGGTGTTCGGCAGGCTCGGAGACCTAATCGGAAGACGGCGCGTGTACGGCCTGTCGTTGATGCTGATGGTGCTCAGCTCCATCGGATGCGGATTCTCTATATGCACCAAGAGGAGCTGTATTCTGATCAGCCTGGGATTCTTCAGGTTCCTTCTCGGCGTCGGGATAGGCGGGGACTACCCGCTGTCGGCGACGATCATGTCGGAGTTTGCAAACAAGAGGACGCGCGGGTCCTTCATAGCCGCCGTGTTCTCGATGCAGGGGATCGGGATCCTTGCCAGCTCGGCGGTGACGATGGTGGTGTGCAAGATATTTGAGGCGACGACATCAGCGACGGCGACGGAGACGCCAGACGAGGCGGATATTGCGTGGAGGGTCATACTCATGATTGGTGCAGTCCCCGCTGCCATGACATATTATTGGCGTATGATGATGCCTGAAACTGCAAGGTACATATATACCTCATACTAGTTTAATTTTTCATTTGTGATGAGAAAGAAAAAAAATTGTTAAGATTTTGAATTTTCTATTGAAGTACTTTAGGCTAGGTTTTAAGATGAGGCTTAGCTGTTGAGAGTAGTCATCGGAGGAATGTTTATATATTGGCAAAATAAAAAATATATATATATATATTTCTCCTTTATTGAGTTATAATAAACATCTTTGTTATGAAAATTAAGAAAATACAAAATTAAGAAGCAAAACTTTAGAGATAGAGTTTTATTAATCTTGTAAAGGTATATAAAATGAAGAATTTTAGAGCTCTATTTATATGAAAATTTTCGGCACTATTCAAGGTTATTATTTGTATAATACTTACTATTTACGGTTGTTATTTGCACAGTAAGATTTTGATATGAACAATAACTTTAGGTGACTTATATAGTAACTTTGACTCAAGTGGACAGCTAATATTCATAACACATATGTATATGTAGATATATATTAAACTTTTGTATATATATATTGTAGACGTTAGAAAATAGAAATATGGTTGTCGGTGAGATAAGATGGACACCCAATTAGTAATAATTCTCTATTTAGATCTTGTTCTTGTAGAATAAATGACAATTCTAGCTGGCTGTCCTATCAGTTTGAAAATTAACATTACATTTATTCTAAAGTTCTTGAAAGGGAAGGGAAATTAATTAAGAAATTAAGTGCAGTAATACATAAACTCATGAATTTACCAACCAACTAATAACGAATTGAAAAAGAAAATTAACATATCAAATAAGTGTTTGATCGATTATTGTTTTAATTTGTTGTAGATACACAGCTTTGGTGGAGCAAAATGTGTTACAAGCAACCAAGGACATGGTGGAAGTGTTAGACGTTTCATTGAGTCAAATAGCGGAAGATGAACCAGTACTACCTACTGATCATAACCCAACTCCCTATCCTCTTCTCTCCAAGAAGTTCTTCCGCCGCCACGGCCGCGACCTCTTCGCCTGCGCCGCCTCGTGGTTTCTGGTCGACATCGTCTTTTACAGCAGCAACCTCTTCCAGTCCCATATATACGCCAGTTTTCTCGACCATAAGAAAGAGATTAACGCCTACCAAGATGCCTACAATCTTGCCAGACTCCAAGCAATTATTGCTATATGTTCCACCATTCCAGGTCAGCAAGCCATTATATAATTAATGTGATTTTTTTCCCTTCGTTTACTCATAATTTTGCACTCCCAGCAATATTTTTCTAATTACAAAAAATATATATATGCACTTTTTTTGTTGTTAAATTTTAGATTATGTAATTCTAAAATGTACTAATCTTCATTAAAGTACAAATTACCAATTATTTCAAATGTACTATTCCCAATAAACTAAAGTCTAATTAAATTACTCGTTTAGTTCATAATTTTCTATTAATTCTTAAAATAGAATTAAACTCAACTGTGAATTAAATTTATTTAAGTAATAAAAGAAAAGGTTATAAGAAATGATAATTATACTTCATAATTTCCTGAAAAGAAAAAAAAAAATTTATATTCCCGTTCTAGGTTATTGGTTCACGGTGTATTTCATCGACCGCATTGGAAGAGTGAAAATCCAAATGGTGGGGTTTATGTGCATGGCGGTGGTATATATCTCCATTGGTGTACCTTACTACTCATTTTGGGACAAGCACAACAACCGAGTTGGCTTCATGGTGCTGTACGGCCTCACATTCTTCTTCTCCAACTTCGGCCCCAACACGACCACCTTCATAATCCCCGCGGAGCTGTTTCCGGCGAGGTTTCGTTCGACGTGTCACGGAATATCGGGGGCATCGGGGAAGGTGGGGGCCATAATCGGGTCGGTAGGGTTTTTGTGGGCTTCGCATAACAAGACAGAGGATGGTTATCCAAAAGCCATTGGAATGACAGCCTCGTTGATCATTTTGGGAGGAGTTTGCCTTGTGGGAATGGTTGTGACCTATTTGTTTACACCTGAAACTAAGGGACGTTCTTTGGAAGAGAATGAGAAGGATTATGATAATGAAGATGAATTAAGACAAAGGGTTCTTCCTCAACCAATATGAGAGTCCCATATATATTGCATTCTTCTCCTTCAATATATCATGAATGTGTACATATATATAATAGGGTTGTATATATTTATATTTAAGCTTTTCAGTTGAGGGTTGACAGAAGGTTAATTACAGTCACTTCTTTTTTTTTTTTTTTTTTTTTTTTTTAATTTTTTTAAATTTATAGTAAGGATTAGCTAGGAAGATAGTGAATCTGCAATATCTACTTGTTCACTGCAGATTTCTTGATGTAAAGTTTGGAGGTTTCCCTTGTATTACTTTTTCATTCTTCGACGTCCGTAGACAATATATACTCAATAATATTAGAGTCATTGTCTTAAAATCATGTAATATAATATTATTTGCACTTCACTGTAACTTTTTTTAGCAAAGGCTTAATTTACAATCTAGAAGTACTTTAGATTTTTATTTTCTACAACCATTTAGATTATCCGGTAAACATTGGAAAATATTACGCCAAAATCCAGGCACATGATCATGTTTATTGGTTTTTTGTCAACTTAGATGATAGTGGCTAAGACGTATATACATCATTGGATTATTCTTTTTCTCTCTTTAGCCATAAAAAAAAAGGAAAAAAATATCTCCTGATTACAGTAAAGTATACACGTGTTGATGTAAATAAAGAACTCATACAGCCCACTTTTCTTTTTTGCCTGGAAAAGAGGAACTCGGCTAGGTTCCACGAAGTAATTAATATGTTGCTTAGCTCTTTTTTAATTTTTAATTAAGATTCATATGTGTATACATATATGATATATATATATATTATATAAGAAGTATTTTTGACAAACAAGGATTCTTGTTGCTTTATAAATATTTGTTCCGACGGAGACATACTAACACATTAAACTGTATTTAAGCTAGCTATATAGCTAATAACAGTTTTTACAGTGTACATAAAGATATACAAGTAATACATCCCCAGAACAAAACTGACAAAATGTGAACTCCATAAAGTACCCAACAAATTCATTTTTTGTTTGGCGGCGATGAATCGTGATGGAAAAATATGACGCATATACATACATATCATATTATATTTGTGAATTTTTTTTTTACATACAAACATATATATAACATAATCATAATAATGCGGAATATTTAAACTTTTAAAAATTTACAAATTCTTAATCAAAACATGAAAGTTCTAAAATTTGAAAAGAAAAAGGTGCTTGAAAGGGGTTCTTCAATTAAAAACTTAACTTTGTGGAAATCATATTAAAGCCATAAGGCCAACTCTCAAAAATTAATATCAAAGTTTGTCCACTACAAGTCTTATCCTCATATGCACATTCACTTCGATCAGATTCCCCGATCACTGAGCTTCTATCTTACATTTTTCTTTCCTTTTTCCCGCAACACAAGGAATCCTAGCAAGCTAGAAAGATTAGTTAGCGAGCAGACTAGCTACTCTTAATATGGATGTAATGCAGCACAATAATTCCTTAGCAGTAAAGAGACATGAACATAAATGTAGATATAAGTGATATTAATTGGAATACCTAATTCAAGTACTCATAATTTTTCTCAATATACATAGTCAAATAATTCATAATTTTTTCTAACCGATAAGTAATCATAATATGATATGTTTCGTACTAACTCCTAACATGTTTCATAGAGGAGTGTATTATACTCAAATGTTCATAAACTCGTCGTATTAAATGTTCATGTTATCAGTTGACTATTACTTTGACTTTCATAACTATATTCAAACGTATAAGAATCATAATCTTAACGTACCGTAATCATATTTATAGGATATCATAAATCATAATCTTAACGTACTGTAATCATATTTATAGGATATCATAAATCATAATCTTAACGTACCGTAATCATATTTATAGGATATCATAAATCATAATCTTAACGTACCGTAATCATATTTATAGGATATCATAAATCATAATCTTAACATACCATAATCATAAGTCTAAATCTTAACATACCATAACCATAATATTCAAAAAATTTATCAGATTTAAGAGATCAAAAGTTGAGATCTTAAAGATTTGTGTTACATTTGAATTGGAATGTTGAAATTTTCAGCTGAACATGTGTTTTTGACACTAATTTAACACAATCATCGTCAAAATGTGACATATTGCAACAACTTTATAAGTTGAGGAGGCGACTTATCAAAATTTAAAGTTTGTGGAGGCAATTTGCTAAACCTCGACAAGTTTAGGAGGTAAATGTGCTAAAAATCCAAAACCAAATTGTCAAAAATATAATCTAGCATGAACAATCGGATTTTCAACCAAACCAACCAAAATCTCAATTTTATTAAACTTTTCGTCATCGAAATAAACCATTTGTCATCAAATATAATAATAAAATTTCATACATACTTATAGATAATCAAATATCTAAAAATTTAGTTCTTTAACTATAAGAAACTCCACATATTTAACCAATCTTTAATATCAAAGTATCAACTCCATATTTAATAGTACAAATGTTGATCACAAACAATCTTTTGTAAAAAGACAGATTCATCAACTCTTACGAAAATATTCATAATATATTATAGGTAGATCAAAAAATATGGGACCAGCCCAATCAAATTAGACTTATAGAGCTTTCTTTAAAGCTATTATAAGTTAGGTTTCAGATTTATTAAGTTCATCAAAAATAACTCGTAATCCATATTAAAAATTTCCATCAGGAAATTTATTGATTTTTGCATGAATTTGTATAATCATAATTAATTCTAGAAAAAACTATTTTGAGTGATTTAAAAATGCACTTAAAGCTTAAGATGTCTACTTTAATAGAAAAATATCAACTGAGATAAAAAAAAAAGTCTATAAAATAACCAAAAAACTAAAACTTCATAGCTGATCACATAAACTTTTTCATAATCATTTTGTCAAACATATAGCATGTAAACTTCAAACAACTAGAAATAAACTTAATGATCATCAAAAATTAAACTCCATCATCAAAATACAGAATCTAATTCAATCCCATGATGTTTACAAGTTGAAGACTCTCACCCTTAAAGAAACGACAAAATTAGACTTCACTTTAATAATGAACTTGTAGCTTGAATTGGGAGAAACATGTTTCGCTAGAATATTGGATTTGGAGGAGTTAAATACAATGTACTATCATTTAAAAATAGATTAGAACTCACCCACTAAAATGAATTGATCAATGAACAAGTTTTGGTAAGGACAATTTACCAAAATGGATTTACAATCTTCTATTCTAGGATTGGGGCTTGAACCAAATATTTGAGAGGTTTTTAAGACTCAAAAATCATCTCTAACTCAAGGAAATCAAAGAGGGATGTTAGTACTATGAGTTAGGAGAAACATTTTGATGAAAAATTGGAGTTTTCAATGATTTTTGGTGGGTTTTCTACAGCTCATCTACATAGTTACGGGATTCTTTTGTTTTTCTGAGAGAAAGAGTAAGAGAGAGTAAAATATGGATGAGCTTTGAAAAATAATTGATGTGTCATTTTCTCTTTTTCTTTTTAATTTTATTTTTCAACCTAACTAATTTTCTAGTGGTTGTGATGTATGGTAACTCTCAAACAACTAATCAGAAACTTTTAGAAACTCCATCAGCTTTTTTGTTTTGACCCGATGTTTTTATAATTGCGTTTTGGGTTTCATATTTTCAAAAAATTATGTTTCGATTCCGTTCTTTAGCAAGATTACAAATTTGACCCTAAAATAAAATCTACTCTTGATTAATTTCGATGCTCCGATTAAGAATCCAATATTAGGAATTTCATCCAGAATTTAATTCCCTAAGTTTTGCTCCAATTAATATTTTCAGAAAAAATTTACCCTCGGACAATACTTCCGTCGGGTGACGCATGAATTTAGGACATCCAAATCTCTTTAATTGTAATGAGAAAATCATAAAACACATAATAATCATAAAGCTCACTATAAAATTTCATAAGAATCTAAAATAGAGTTAAGAAGTGTTACAATATATATCTTATTCTAATTCCCATTAAAAAAATATGTGTGTATATATATATATATATATATATATCTTATTCTATGCCTAATTGAGAGCAGTAATGCGTCATCAATCAATCCTTCTATCACCATCAATATATAATTGTTCACTAATTTCTGGCCTCCTTTGCTTCAACTACCTAGTATTCCGTATATATACAGTCCTAAAATGACTCATGATATATGTGTGTGTGTCTATATATATATATATATATATATATATATATTGTTTTACTTCGAATTTCTAAGTTAATAAGATATTGGGTAGTTAGATTATTGCGCACGTTTTTAGGAATTTTGTAGCTAATTAATTTGTGCCAATTCATATATCAGGGAATTGATCAGACGTAAAAAAATGTGAATGCAGCTAATTAAGAATGTGTATACTCAAGTCTCAACCATTGAGTGGACCATCAACAGGATCATTCACAGAGCATCATCATGCAGCTAATTAAGCGATATTACTTAGAGAAAACAACTAATATTACAAATATAGTTAATTAGTTATCTAATATATATGAAAGACCTTTGATTCATTCCGCAACTAAATTTCAATAAAACTAGTAATAGGCGAAAGAGAACAAAAAAAATAAAATAAAAAAACTGTGAAACAATAGGATTTAATTAGAATTAGACTATGTATGTCACAACCGTTTGCTTGCATATTTAAAATATATATATGTATATATATATATATATATATATCAAGCAACAGCTAGCTAAGAACAATTCAGAAAGATATTCACCAAAACATTGTAGTTGTACAAAACCCACATTACATAGAATGAAGTAAAAGCGTCATGCAATTCCATCTCATCTGGGATCATAAAATACTAACAAACAAACAAAAAAAAACTATAGAAGTTAAACGTAATAATAACTTTATTGCTCAACAAGAACCTTAATTAACGTCTTCACCGGCCAGTCTCTTCGGCCGGAACCGGCTGGGTATTTCGACGCCGACGACCCTGTTGACTCTCTTCAATATCATCTTCCCTTTCTCCGGCGTCTCTGCAAGTCTGGATGATAATAAATAACTAGTTTTAAGTCCAAACAGAAATCACCCGACAAAATAAACAAGGGATATTCTTTTCTGGTCTTGCCTATGAATGGAATTCCTTTTCCTTCCTCTCGGCCTCTTGAAAAGTAGAATAGA